GTTGTAAAGACTCCCAGAGTTGTTATGGTACAAGCTGTCAGACTAGAATCTTCATCTGAGAAAGCGGACTGCAATCCAAAGATGTTTATACCATCAACTGGTGCCCGCAGATGTTTTGTGTTACAACCCAGTTAACATCTGCCCACTGACCATGGGACCTGTAGTTAAAAAAAATTGTTACATGTTGTAAAGTCACATCCGGCTTATTGCAACCCTAAGAATGACTGATCTCCATAATATCCTATCATTAACAGCTCAGCTCAGCTCTTGGAAACCCAAGGACACGGTTGCATTAATCCATGTCATATTGGCGTTTACCTTTTCTTGTTGCCTTCAAATTTTCCTAAGATGATTCTCTTTTCCAATGGGTTTTCTATTCTCATAATGTGTCCAAAGTAAAAAAATACAGTGGTGCCTCGCTAGGCAGTTAATCTGCACTACAGTTTTTTCGCCAGGCATTGACTTTTTGCGATTGCTATAATGATTCGCAAAACAGTGATGCCTATGGGGGAATTTCGCTGGACAATGTTTGGTCCCTGCTTCACAAACCGATTTTCGCTAGATGATTTTGACAGCTCCCTCTGCGCTCGTAAAACAGGTGTTTTCGGGACCTCAATCGCAAGACAGCGATTCAAACAGCTGATCGGCGGTTCGCAAAGCGGTTTTCCTATGGTCGATCTTCGCTAGACGATGATTCTTCTCCATTGGAACACGTTAAACAGGTTTCAATGCATTCCAATGGGGAAATGCTTTTCGCTAGACAATGATTTCGCTAAACAGCGATTTCAGTGGAACAGATTATCAGCATCTAGCGAGGCACCACTGTACTCAGTTTCATAGGTTACTTCTAGAGAGAGTAAAGGTGTGATTTGATCTAGGACCCACCTGTTTGTCTTTTGGGCATCCTGATATATCTGCAAAGCACTACATTTCAAATGAACCAATCTCTTGTTGCTTTCTTTGATGTCCAGCTTTCATATCTGTACATGGTAAGTGGAAATTGGGTACTGTATGTTTGTTTGGCAGTCTCTGTCACTGGAGTACTAAGTGTCACTGCTCCTCAACAGGGAATGTTGGGGTAGACTCCATGTTCCTTCAAACACTACGTAACACTTTTAAAACGGACTCTAGAAAGTTTTCGTCTCTGTCACTGGAGTACTAAGTGTCACTGTTCAACAGGGAATGTTGGGGTAGACTCCACCTTCCTTCAAACACTATGTAACACTTTTAAAATGGACTCTAGAAAGTTTTCTTCTTCACTTTTAGTGGAGGATGCAATAAGAAAAAGTCCAAAGTATGAAACAACAGCACTTTGGTAAGATAACATTCACTCCACAGATTATTTAACATTTTCTTAGTAATGGGATCCACAAAGAAGGGCTATACACAGGCAAGAGGAAATATCCATTTTATTTGAGTTTTGTTTACACAGAGAACTGAATGAGAAATATGTACAAGCACATATCTTCATATAGATGTTTTTCAAAAGCCACAAAATTAAGTAGTTCCACAAAAATAGCTAGTAGGATATCCAATCCAGGCAAAGAAAATTTCAGAATATGAAGTGGCTATAATACATGTTTCCCAGCAAAACAAGCAAATGAAAAGAAACCTATTTGTTTAACCCAGTGATAAGGTTATGTGTAAAACAATGACTTGAGCTACTAACATGAAACATGTTAAGTATAGAATCCTAATTGTCTTCACTTGAATGTGGGCACTCACACCTGTGCCCTGCTCATAACATCTCCTTTCAGTCACCAATGTGAAAGAGAGAAATTTCTTTGCTTCTATTGCTGACACTTTGTTCTCCATGTGCTCATAATTTTGTTAATACCCAGAAAACAAAACAGAGCACATCAGCATCCAAGTGGGAAATGATGCGAAGGTCAAGGGTCTGAACTTAAGGCCTGCTACCTACAGACCATGTGCTCTACTAGTTGTGTCAACTGCGTCTTATTCTATTAGTGGCACCACTGCATTAAAGACTGTCACTAAAAAGCAAGTGGTACACAAGTACCCCTTGCCTACACAAAACCCGAGCAAGTGGCATATAGAAAATCTATACTTTCTGTGGTCAACATGAAAGACGACATGAAAGAAATTGAGTTATTTTCTGTTCCCTTATGTCATGGCTCAGAGAACAAGCAAAGTAGCAGGGTGAACACAAATCAATGATTTTTAAAAATCCAATTAATTTAAATCATAATTTAATTTTTTTAATGATTTAATAATTTAAATTATTTAAAAAAATATCAATTTTTAAAAAATTTAAATCATGATTTAAATGAATTTGTTGTAAATAAAATCTAGCCTATAGGGTAGTACTTGAGGTGAATTGTGCCTACTATATGCTATTCTTAAAAAGAAAAAAAAATCAAAATCCTGCCTCAGGGTAAGCCAAACTAACAAGAAAATATGAATTCTGCCATTTTCATGGCCCTACAAAGCAAGAGAATTGCCTGCCTATGTATTATCTCTTCTGTCAATCATGGAGAAAGAAAAAGCCTACATGAGACATTGCAGCCTTGACTTCTGACTGCTGTAAATCTTTTTAAGGAATTCCTGTCTTCTGAGGCTGCAACTTGCTCTATAAAAAATTAGAAAGTGAACATAACAGGTAACTTATATTAAGTCCTAATGTTTCTCCCTCTAGCTCTGTATTGTTTGCTCTACTAGCAGCAGCTCTCCAGTGTCTATTTAAGAGTCCTCCTCCCAGTATCTAGTATCATTTTAAAAACGTAATATGTCAGGGACTGAACCAGTCATCCAAAAAGCATGTGAGGCAAAGGTTTTTAAAGGAATGGGAGACAGAAACCTACCTTTTAAAATCATTAAATCATTTTAATAATTTTAAATTGCCTTTCAACCACACCTTACCCCAAAACAACACCTATAGGTACAAAAGACCTGGATCCAGATTTAGACATGTTTAGATAAATTTAAGTTAGGGGCCCATGACACCCTCTTCTCAAAAAGTGGCTAGTTTAAATGTTGGCTAAACATCACATGTAGTTCGGCTCTAAGATGCTGAACAGCAAATCCTTTTGATGTTGATTATACAGTTAAAGCATTAGGTGACCACTGGGCGAGCCATTCTCAACCACAGCCTCATAACTGCAACATAGAGGTAATAGTAACCTATTCACATGGCTATTGTGACTCCTTGACAATGAATGTAAAACATTTATGAAGTTAGATACAAATACTAAGTATCATCATCATCGTTAATATTATTACTACAGGCCTGGTAACTAACAAATTAATCTAACTAGAATGGTTTCAAGAGTAAACAAGAAGATGTAATATAATATCCTCACACTAAAAAACCCAGCAGAATATACTGATATCTGTCAGACACAAATATAAACTTGTGTTCTGAAGGCTCCAACTGAAAGAGAGGGCATATTCCAGCTCTTGTAAACCTTAGCTTATGGACCCCAAAGCACCATATTTACAAGCATAATCCAATGGAAAAGCATTCACAGTTCAGATACACAAGAGGTATTTATCAGTTTCCACATCAAATGACTGAAAGAATGGATAGCATGATCTTAAAATTACACTGGGAACAACATTCTGTATAAAACTAAGAATTTTTAAAGTCACTATTGATTTCAGTGGGTAAAGACTGAAGATTTTGTTGAGCTTTCACCCAAACCAAAGGGATTTAAAAGAGGCTTGTCTGTTTGTGAATGTGGATGGAACTTCCTAACAAGCAGTTTAAAAAGAAATCACTTGGCCTCAGGCTGAAACAAAAAAACTGACCGATGGAAACTTATCGACTGTTAGATGAAGAATAGTAGCCATTATGCAGCTGCAAATCAAATTCAGATAGATGGGCTTCAACTAGTTATGTACACACTCTGATGTATATAGTGTCCTCCTACACAGGATAAGACTGCCATGTTTCCTATTCTACATTCTCTGATATTTCTCAAGACTGCTTCATATATTTAAACAGCAGCAAACAAATGTTATTGCAGTGCAGGCCTCCCAGAGTGCAAAAAGCACTGATCTATCATTTGTGTTAGCGGGTGGGTGTCTCTTCTTACCCACACCTATTTTAAAGTAAAATGAAAAAAAAATTATTTTATGCCTTGAAAAACATTATTAAGTTAAGCAGCCAACAAGAAGACTCCCCCAGTATAGAAAATAGCTGCTGCATCAATGGGGATGCTAGGTAATGCTGACCCTAGATCTCCTGCTGCCTGAGGCAGACCAGCAAATGCCATTCTCCCATCTTCCACCATCCATACAGTACTCCTGCTACTCCTTATGTTCTTCTCCTTCAGATCTTCTGCTGCTGGTGCTGCTTGCAGCACACAGCAGGAAGGCAAGGCAAAGAGGTCAGCATTCACTCAAGCTGGCTGATCCCAGAATAGGAGTGGAAAGGCATAGTTGGCTCCAAACACTTGGGAAAGCCAAATTTCAATGCATTGCATTCCTACTCCATATTTCCTTCCTGTACCAGTCATCATTTTCATATTAGATGCTGTGATCAGCACAATATTGAAAGTATTTTTTCCGTCGAATCTCAATTATTTTTTAAAGAAAGAGATCTACGTTTTTAACAGAGTTCTACTGTAGAATAATATTTTTTTTAAACCTTAGGGTGGCCAGCCATTACTGAAGCCTACATTTTTAAGAATGTTTCATTTTCCCACCTATGGTTAAATGTTTCTTGATGAATAATAGCTTAGCCCAAAATGCTCACTATTGGTGTCCTTTAGTAATTTTTAAAAGTCTGTCAACAGCCTTGGATGGTATAGATTCGGGTTTATCTTACAAAAAAAGAAAAGAAAAGAAAAGTGAAGACTATGGGTTGGATCCAGATTTGCTGTGGATTGTCCTGTTGGAGGGCTGTTTTCACTGATTGTTCCTTTCATCTGCAGCCCTTTGAAAATCTGCTTTTGAAGAAGTGGGATGTCTTTGGAACATGTGACCCTAGAGAACGCAGGAGGTGGAAACGAAAGGCTGAAGAGCTACTCTTTTTTTTGGGGGGGGGGAATAGATCCAAAAAGTTATCTTTATAATTGCTATTACCAGCTGGGAGATCTGGGGAGCTACAGTTCCCCCACAAAAAAAGGCAGCTTACCTATCCTCTGATAAAAGGAACTGGCAAAATGGTTTCCCCTGCAAGAAGCTTCTTCTAGAATCCTGTTAGTCTTTTTCCTGAATAGAGAGACCCTTTCTGTTTGGAGAAGGCAAGACTAAATCCAACCCATCATGAGGTATGAAGGACTCTGCTTCTAATAAACTGCAAACTCAAAAGATTTTTAAAAACTGACCCTCCACATTTGATTGGAGTATAAACTACAGATCTTCTAGGTTTCCAAGGGAAGACATGAAAAAGCAAACCCACAACGTGACTACGATATCCCTAAATAAATCAAGATGGTTCTGACGTCAGATCAGTATTGTTTTAGGTGAACAGCATATGGTTTCAAAAATCTCTATGGAAAGCAAAACAGGGGTAAATAAATCTGGGAGATTACACTTCCATTTGGAAAATGAAATTATCTATTGCTCAGTTGTTCTGAGAAGTAAAGCTATTCATTCTTTAGGTAGATCCGCACACAATGTTTATGCAGACACATATGGTGGCGGGGGATCCTTCGCAGCGCCATTTGCAGGATCATCATATGGTGGTAACAGCACCTGAAAAGGAGTAAAAAGAAAGTTTAGACTACTCCAGATTGGGTAGCCTTCATCTGTATTGCATACAGCAACTTTTGATAACAATTATGGTACAGTGGTGCCTCGCATTACAAGCGAAAATGGCCACACTATGGAGGATCTTTGCTGGACGGTGAATTTCAAGCCCCTAGGAACGCATTAATCGGGTTTTAATGCGTTTCTATGGGCTTTTTAATTTCGCATGACCTTTTCGTTCTACAGCGATTTCACTGGAACGAATTAACGTCATGATATGAGGCACCACTGTATTGAAATACTGTGGAGTAGTCCACAGTACCACTGATCTTTAAATAATTCCCAAAAATGCTAGTTAGGAAGTACCGTCTCCTGCAATGGGGTTTACTAACATGCAGGAATATAATTTCTAGCACAGAGAATGTCACAAGACCCTGCAGTTATTCAGGTATATGTGGTTTATCAGCATGCATCTTCATCTTAATTTGATTCCTATTCTTTTTAACAAAATTATTTAACCTCAAGAGAACTGCACACGTCCTTTTCATTTCACAAACAAGTAATGACAGAACACTTGCAATAATTTGGAAAGATGTGAAGAAAAACATGTATCATCTGCAGTCAGTATGAGCAGTTATGGACAGTTAATACTTATATTATGGTACTGAAAGGTTCTCTACAGAAATGGTTTCCAACCTTGGGTAACACAGGTGTTCCTGGATTGCAACTCCCAGAAGTCTTCACTACTGGCTGGAGTTTCTGGGAATTGCAGTCCAGTAACAACTGCATTACCCAAGTTTGGGAAGACTGGTCTACAGCACGAGGCTGTCAATTATACATGGAGATGCTCAAAATGTATTCCAACAAATAGCACAGTTCTAGAACTGAATTGTCCATAGCTTCATGGCAGACTTGGTTTACTAGATTCTGATTTTTAATTTATCAGACATTTGCTTCTCAGTCCTCTAGCTGTGTTGCCTTGGGAAACATTCCTTCCACACCAGCACAGCTGTGAATAGCTATTAGTAACAATAGCAAACCTAGGCAATCTTCAGTCAAGTATTGTAACAAAACAAACAGCCGGTTTAGGTGGAAAATGAGAGGCAAGGTCATTTAGCTGACCACCTACTTGACTTAGGAGGTTTTCCCCACCCACGTTCTGACATAACATGACCTTTGACTACATGCACACTTATTAAAGACCACCCAGAGGCACCAAAAGATTAATCCACGCTGATATAATTTCTACCTCCTGAGCAGTGAAGTATGAGACACAGGGAAGGAAGCCAGGAACATCATTATCTCCAGTCTTTTGCCAGGGAAAATTTGCTCCTACATCTACTCCTGCATACTGTCCAATCAATTAATTAGTACAAAGGTGAAAGGAATGAGCAACTGAAATCAGCATGGCAATAAAAATCAACATATACTCCCCACTTGCCTATTTCAGATGAGACTGAGCAAAGTGCAGCTTGTCTGTGGCCCCCAGGAGTCCAAATCAGGTCCTAGGATCTCTGCTATATATATTTTTCTTTTTGGTTCTTCCTCCTTTGGTAGTGCATGGTAGAATAGAATTGGACCCTGGAGCAGTTGGAGCCACCTACCCTAATTTAGAACTACATTTGTTATACTGGAATATTTGTTTGTTTATATTTTATTTTATTTAAAATATTTTTGTCCCACCTTTCTTCTTAAAAACAACCCAAGGTGGCTTTATTAAAATTGATTGATTGATTTGATTGACTGATTGTATTTTTACTGTGTTTCTCCTAAATTTAAAAGTTCAGAGGTGGAAGGATGTAAATCAGATTTAATGGCTGATAACTGGATGGTTTGCAAAGGGAGTTCTTACTTTCACTTTTTACAAACAAATCAAATCAATTGTAACAGAAAGGTTCCATGCTTCAAAACTATACTAACGATAACTCAAATGTAGAACAGTTCTTGTGGGGATGGAAAAAGGCTTTCAGAGAGCCACTGCAACTTAGAACAGACAGCCTAGATGTACCAGTAGCTCAGTAACAATTACCTCCTTTTGTTAGATGAAAACGTATCCCTTTTCTACAAATATCCTGCAGAACACCTACATATTATGTAAACATTGTTACAATGGGAAAAATGCTCCCTAAGGAGAGCTTGGAAAAGCAGCTTCGTCGATTCTGGGAGCTGCTAAAGTCCAAAAAGTGAAAACAAACAACAAAAGAAAAACAACTACAAACAAGACACACTAATCACCCATCTACAGAAAAAGACAAAAGCCTATCTCACAGCCATAAATACTGCACTCCCAAGCCAACTACAGCAGAGCACAGAGTGCTGTCCTCTGAAGATGCCGGCCACAGAGACTGGCGAAATGGCCACAGAGACTGGCGAAACGTTAGGAAGAACAACCTTCAGAACATGGCCAAAGAGCCTGAAAAACCCACAACAACCATTAGATCCCGGCCATGAAAGCCTTCACGAATACAAACCTTTCTACACTTTGTGCACATCGGAGACCCCCTGGGAAATACTTGGTCTCTGAGAACAGCAAGCACTCACCCCATAACAGATCTATAAATATTCAAGTTCCCCAGACCTTTCACTTCTCATGCTACCCATATTTGGAGGACTGTACCCTGAATTAACCTCTTTTGTTGTTGTTCCTATCCAGTGCATCATAACACATTTGAATATGGTTTAGGGATTCTATATGAAACACACCCATTGCAGGCAGCTTAATGTTCCTTCATGTAGTACAATCTGTCAAGAAGCAGATTTCATTGTGCCTCCTTCCTCATCTTAGCAGGAAGCAACCTAAATGTTTATCCACGAGCATTCCCATTAGAAATCTCCTAGAGTGATTACAGATGGAAGCTGGACCGCCCTGAGATAATTTATAGCTTTGCTGTTCACTCTGCTGCCAAAGCATTCAGAAGAACAGATTTCTACAGTTGCTGTGTCTGCATCTATATGGTAGCCCAGTTATACAAGGTCTCTTATTTTTTTAAGAAAATAAAAGGGTTCAATTTAGGCAAATGGCAGACATTTAGCAGACAAGGTCACACATAATATATACCGTGCTGTAGTAAAATCACCTGGGATTCATTTAAAAAGTACACTGAAGAAACAAGACTATCGGGTATCATTTAGAGCAGATTTTGTGGAGGGAAATCTGCAGACCCACCCTGTTTTCCCCAAAATAAGACCTAACCTGAAAATAAGCCCTAGTATGATTTTTCAGGATGCTCGTAATATAAGCTGTACCCCAAAAATAAGCCCCATTTATGTGAAACCCCGCCCTCCACCACTCTGCAGCAATCAGAAGAAGATGACATGACTGTATTTGAATAAATGTAGATTGTTGTACAGTACATGAAAAAATAAAACATCCCCTGAAAATAAGCCCTTATGTGTCTTATTTTCGGGGAAATAGGGTAAATCCCTCTAATACGTTGGAATTTGGACAGCCACAGGATCTGGAAATTACAAAATGCTCCAGGTTATTTACAGTGTCATACACCAGAACACTGGGAGGAAAAGGACACTAGGAGGAAACAGGGAGGATCGGGAACTCCTTTACTACAAGAGTGGTTAAAAAAAAAAGAAGCCTGTTGCAGATATTGTAAAAAGAGGTGGAAAGTCTTTGGTCCTCCAGATTTCAGCATTCCCTCATTTACATTAACCCCTCTGTTCAGGGATGCTGCAAACTGTAGTTCAGTAACATCTGGAATGCAGCAGCCCCCACCTTCTCTGTAACAGCTAGCAAAGTGATTTGTATCATCCCTGGAGTGAACCATAGTAGCCTAGCAAAGGTGCACATATCTTGGCCTTATGAAGTCGTCAGGCATGAACTTTTTGTCTACATGTTCCACCCTTCTGCTACCCCTCCCTTCTTTTAGCATACCATAATTCAACACTTCTTGGATTAGTTGATCACCATTTTATCTGAGTATATGAACCTGGAAACTATTTACCACAGAGGGAACCAGCCAGCCTCGTGAACTAACCTTAATAATTATAGTTTACAGGCTTCAACACAATGGGAAATGACAGTTAGCTAACCCAGGATTTATTAACCCAGTGGCGTGGTGTGATGAAAAGAGAGGAAGAAAGGCATAAATACAATGGAGAAGTGCAAACATCCAAAACATGTGCACTGTCTCAGAATACTAAGCAATGTGCATCTTACCCATGATACAGAGAACGTTAAGTTCATATACTGGAATATTGATAGAAAAGTCATTTCATTAATTATTGAGTAAAACGAAGCAAACCTCCCTAATGAAGGATTCAAGTCCTTTACATAGAGAAGATGTAAGGATGGTGAAACAAAAATATGAAGGTGCAGTATCATGCTGGCTGTACTTCTTCCCTCAATTTGTGGAGCTTTTAGTGTAAAACTGACAGTGAATCCCCTGCAAGGTTTGTGACTTTCATATGTTGTAAAATTTGCTAGGGCTAGTAATAAAAAACGATGAGTAGAATTATAAGCCAGTGAAGGAAGTTTAAAATTACAGCAATTTCTAAGCATTCAACTCACAAACAGTGAGAAACTGGGATTCTTTAAAATAAGTATTTTTTGGAAATAGTTTAAGGAAAGGAGAAATAGTTTAAGGAAAGGAGACATTTCTGAAATCCTATACTCACTTACTTGGGAGTAAACTCAACTACACACAATGGTATATCCTTTGAATTGACATGGGTAGAGTTCAGAGTTTGGAAGTTATGTTTTTGGACAACAAGACACAGATTCCACCAATCAGCATACCAGTGATGGCGAACCTATGGCATGCATGCCACAGCTGGCACACAGAGCCTTCTCTGTGGGCACACGAGCCATAAGTCACCACCGAGAAATACTTCTCCATCCTCTGATTTTTGCACTCCTCTCTGTTGCTGCAGTGGTCCAGCAGAGGGGTGTGGTGGTGACCATTACCAGTCTAGCCCAATGGAGGACTGGTAAGTATTTCTTTGTTAATACCACCCATAGGAAAAACAACAATAAGCATTTAACCCCTGCAGTGCAGGAGCAGTTGTTTTTCTTAAACTAAAACCTCACTATTTGGGTTTTAATTGCAGTGCTGGCACTTTGAAATAAATAAGTTGATTCTGTGTTACAGTTTGGGCACTCAGGCTCAAAAAGGTTCACCATCACTGAATAGTCAGTTGCAAAGCTAGCTGGGGAAATGAGGGGAATCATGGTCCAAAAATGTCATATATCAGACAGGATCTCTCCCCCTCCCCTTATTACTGTCAGTGGTTATATCCTCTCTTTATTCCTCTCTCATGTTCATAAAAAATTTTGTGTCTGCTCTCCTCTCTTTGAACTTTGCTCTCAGTCTCATCCAAAGCTTGACAATAATGCACAGAGCCATAACAAAGGTGAGGCTGTTGACTTGGGTTGCAAAGCTGAGTGGTGCATGAGAAATACACAAGGTATGTATCTAGTAATGCAAGCAAAATAGCCCGTACAGTGGGTAACCGACTAGGACTCAGAAGATGTGGGTTCAAATCCCTGCTCAGACATGGGAGGGCAGGGGGAATATTTAGAATATTACAAATTTATCATTTTCTAGGAGTGAATAGTTGCAAGTTATAAAATGATGGGGAAAATGTAAGATTTTCCTGTATGTGTTTTTTTTTAAATAGTATGTACATTAGTTGATTGGGCACCCAGATCTTATGACTAAAATAAATGTTGAGTTATTATTCCTGTTTCTTTTTTTTTATGTATTAACCCATGAAAATATATGGGGAGCATTTGATATCCATACCTCATGCACAAAATTAGCTAGTTACAGCTCTAGTAATGAATTAAAATTAACCTGTCAAAGTCATTACTTTGAATTTAACAGAAGGAATGCATCAAATTTTTAAAAAATGTTTTGGTGTTTAAATGTTTAAAATGTTAGTATTGAAAACCCTTTTTAAAGATGCACCAGTTGGCATTTGTGGTCCTCCTATCACCACAAATGTAATGAACTTAATCTGTTAAATCTAACACATTACTTCCAAGCTCAGGTATGCTCCCCAATCAATTCTCTCTCTCTCTCTCAGTCCCTCTCTGCTTCTGCTGACTTCAACAGAAAACAAGGACCAACAAAGTAAGATAAATTTGTTGATTTTGTGGTGGCAGGAGGATAATTATTTATTTATTTAAAACATATTTATCCTGCCTTTCTCTTTAAAAGGACCCAAGGCAGCTTACATTATTAAAAGAAGATATAAAAGGTAACAACGGTGAGAATCTAAATACTAAAAAAAGATAAAAACAGCACCAAAACACATTCAAAGCAGGAAGGTACAACATTCCATTTAAACTTGGATACAGGACAAAGTTTCTGTGTATGTGGAGAAATTCAAGCAATGAAGCATTTATATGCATGCAGTTTATGCTCCACCATATGTACTGAAGAAGATCGAATAAATGGCTAAGATCACACTATTGGACTAGCCCTCCTCTGGTCAAAAACAGAATTTAGCACTTTAAATTTGTTTGAACTTTATATTTCATACATGTCCATAATTTAAAATTATGTAGTGCTTTGATAGGAATAAAGATTTTACTGCACTAATGGAGTGATGTATAAAACAAACGAACACACAAAACAAAACAAACTACTTTTAAGGGAAAATATTAATGGCTAAGGAAAACACATTAGAACTTGTTTATTTGAAGCTTTGCATAAGAGTTTTACTGGAATTGGCCAAAATTCCTTTTTGTCAACATCTTGTCAGATGAACCTATACAGTACTTCTTACCTGTAATTTAAATGGGAGCACTCTTACTTGCCCATTATGCTCACATATGCTGGAAGAGTCAATGCCAGGTCAGCAGATGCTTTCTTTAAATCAGTGGCACACAAAGGATATTCAGCATGAACAATTTCACAGCACTGGGAACCAGGTCCTCCCATTTAAGCCTGGGAGCATGCAGAACACCATACAATTACAACATACTTACCGCTGTATCATTAGTGGTAATGTAGACCAGGACATCAGAGTTGTTTCTGTTATTAATGTATCGATAACAATTCCATACACAGCTGATCAGATAAGCCTGCCAGGGGGTGGAAGAAATAAAAAGTTGGCGTTCAACTTGCAGTTTATAATTTAACACATATTGTTTACCAAGACATTCACCTGCTCAAAGCAGAGCAGCTAATGGTGCACCCATAAAGCAGGTGAGTATCCAAAGCCAGTCAAATTATTTGTGCGTATGTATCAGAAAACACCACAAGCATTTATGTGCCTTCACAGCATTAGAAATGCAACAATAACAAAGAGCTAACATGCTGCCCTTACAGGACAACCCACACCTGCTGCTTGATCCATGTGCCTCAAAAGTATCTAATGGCAGAGCCAGTCCTTTTCTTGACCATGGCATGGTGTATGATGTGACTGTTTTTCCCTATTCAAAAGAATATTAATCTATTATAGCATGAATGAAAAGCATTGTAGCACCTGAACTTTCAGTAGTCTTGCCAGGCAATTAGGTAGAGAAGGGTTTTTCACCTGAAACTGACCTGATGGTTCTCTTTGAGTCTGTAAATAGGGCAATAGTGCTTAAAGGGTCACCCAGAATTATACTGAAAGAGACAGAATGAAAAAGTGCTTGCAAAATGGAAGGGGAAAGATAAGAAACGGGGGGGGGGGGGGAAGAGATAAAATATTATGGCACTTTAAAGATTAACAAATTTATTTCGGTGTGAGCTTTTATGGATCAAGATCTACTTCTTCAGACACAACTGCAAATACTGTGTCTTCTTATGTTCATACACATCGCATGGCGTTAGAATTCATGACTGGTCAGGATAGAGATTACAAAGTGACAACGGTTTGTTAACACAGGGATGGAACTGTAAAGCTGTTAATTATGTGAGGCTGCAGACCCTAGCTAGGGCAATTAGCTGCATGCCAGTTCAATTTGCCTGTCACCGAAAAAGAATGGAAAAGCATGCACCAAACTGTATACTTGCCTTCTCTGATGTAGCAGTCTGTACATGTTTTGGACAGAAACTACCAATTGCCCCAGTGGAGAGAAATTATAAGAGCTGTAGGCCTAAACATCTGGAGGGCACCATGCCAGGGAAAGTCATTGCTTGTTACAGAACATTCAATTATCTGCCCAACAAGTTCAGGTGAAAATTTGTTCTCACAGTTCCTCACAAGCAAGCTGTGAACAGGACTGATCAGTTGCTGCCTGCGATGTCACAAGCCCACCTACATTATCTTGCCCAGAGCAGCTTTCTTCATTGATTTAAAAAAACCAAAACTCTTTGATTAACATAAATTTGCCATTTGCTTTAGAACAAATAAAATGTAGGGAGAGCTTCCTGCAGAGTAGAAGGTGGAGGGGGGAAAAGACAGGTGCCCAGTGGTCAGATCACATACAGGAACTAGTGTATCTGGGAATTTAAAAACAGCTTATTCCATGATACAGAAAGGATGCAGTGAAGTCTGTTGGAAGAACATGTCTAATACAGTACATGGACAGAAGGGCTTCCAATGATTTTTGTGGGTTCATTCTAGCTGTAGATCAGTTTGTAAGGCTTTGTTAAAGGTTTAATAGATATCGGAACAAAAAAGGCACAGCTCAGAGACTTCAAAACTATCCTTCCCCTTTAATTTTCTTTTTAAAGGAAATGTAAATATATGTGATAACTTGGATGACAGGGACTTTAAGCCTATGATGCTCTTGATCTGAAGTATTAGGAAGAAATAGGAATTGTATTTCAACCAAGCTTTGTTATCCTTCTTTATTTTTTAAATCCTTTGTAGCTACAGTCACAAGAACAGGTGTTGCTTAACAATGCTTGCAGCTAAGTCTTCACAGAAGTTTGTTATTTGAAGTGGGAATAATTTCCACCTTAGTCAGTCTCAGGTGGATTTTTAAGTAAGAAGTCTGTCTTTTGCATCAGGCAACACCAAGCCAGTGTCTTCACCCCCGTATACTAGGTAATGAGCAGCTAAAATCACTATGCAAGCCAAAGTATCTTGAAAGGATAAACACACACTCACTCCCATGTACATTGTAATGGAAACTCATTTTGCCCAGCAACGTTCCTGCAGATTTGTCCTTAAAAGCCTTTTTTTAAAATTAGACTGAGTCACTGACCTATTTTAGAGCACATACCTTTCCTATCCAAAAAAGCAAGGGTATTTTTTTTTCCAAACAAAGCCCTCAAAATACACTCCACTATAGCTTACACAGAATAGGAAGTTCGTCCTGGCTTTCTGTCTTTAAAAGAGAGATGGTATAGTGGCAATGAAGCATAAATCTGGTTCAAATCTCATCGCTGCCAAGAATTGACTAGCTGACATAAGGGAAGCTGCTCTCTCTCAACCTGAGCGCCACCATGTGCAATATGAGGAAGTAATAATACTGACCTATAGCTCAGTGGCTTGATGTTCCTGGCTGCAGAGCGAGAGATCAGAAGTTCAAATCCCCTATGTGCCTCCTGGGGAGGGGACTGGCATAGAGGTGGCTGGATTTGTTGCTTTTTAGACCATGATTCCCAGAATTCTTCCATTTTCCAATGTTCTCTTTGCAGCACACAGCAGGCTGCACAGTCCCCGAGTGCCACCAGAAGAAGGGACTGGTAAGCCACTTTTGAGCACCTTACACCTAAAAAACCCTAGGAGGGTCACTGTAAACTGGAATCATTGTGAGAAGACATGGAGGCAGTCTCTGTTGGAACTTGTTTCCCTCATGCACCTTTCTGAGTGGCAGGTCTCCTTGTAAAATGAGTAGCCAGCTCACTGGCGGGAAAGGTGTTGTTTCCATAATTATACTGTAAACTGCTTTGAGTGTGGTGGAGACAGGGTGGTATATGAATCAAAACAATGAGGCACTTTTCTAATAGTTTGAAGAAACAACACAGGAACAGCATGGAGGTGAAGAGGTTACTCTACCACCTGCTGATTTCCAAGGGCTCCCATCTCCCAGCATCAGCTACCAAGCTGGAACCTCCAACCTTGACATCACTCCCATAATTTGGCCCGGGTGGTGGTGGTGCTGCTGAATTATGGTACTGGGACTCCTTTAATTCTAAAAAGTCCAGCCCTAGTGAAGAAGGATGCTTTGGGGTCCTTGAGGGAAAGGCAGGATAAGTCTTCCTCCTCCTTCTTCAGTAACCCCATTGTTGCTTGCATGTCACAACTAATAATATGAAGACAGCAATATTCTCTGCTATGGAAAGAAGAAAGGCCACTTCTTCCTCTCCGCTCTCAGTGATAGCAACTAGGATTGCTGTTTCTGTGGCCCCATGAGGAGTGCAGAAATAGAGGTTGGCAAAGGTTGAGGTGGGTTTCAATGTTAGAATGATGGAGTCAATGCACCTCTGCAGGTCGCAAAAAGCCCACAGGTTCTGTCTCGCTGGGTTTTGGTTGACCGTTGTAATCAGATAATGTATATAAAAGTTTTTTTTAAAAGCACTTCGCAAAAGTACCTTTTCTAAAGATTTAACAGGCAACACCAACTAGTTTAAATCTTGTTTGGACTATAGCAGCTGTGATCTTTCCAAGTATCTAATGTGAAATGGTCCTATCAGTGCTATTTCAATGCAAATATTAAAGTTCTGCTTTGTGTTTTTAATGTCTTCATTTTCTGTACATTCCATTCTAAACTGAACTTGCATGCTCTTTCTTAAGGGAATTAAAAACTTTGGAAAACAGTTAAACATTTGGAGGCTTTATTTACCACATTTTTTCGTGTATAAAACGACACTTTTTCCTAAAACCATTAGAGGAAAAAATTAAGGGTCATTTTATACACAGAAGGAGGCGGAGACAAAGGAGCAGACCTGCTCGGCTGCCTCTCGCCGGATTGCCTCCTCCAGGGCTACTTGCGGGCTCCCTTCGGGTAGGGGACAAGGTGTGAGCCGGAGGCGGTGATTGGGCAGTGGCAGCAGCAGGAGACGGAGGAGCGGCTGCCCTGGGCCACCCCTCGCGGCTGCTAATTGACTGCTCCTCTGCCTCCGGCAAGGGTCAAAATTGGGAGCCGTCTTATACATTGGGGGGGGGTCATATACATGGAAAAATACAGTAAGTCCAAATATATGTATATTTTACAAGTAACCTCCCTTTTCCAATTGTTAAGATTACAGTGACCTCCTACAAACAATAGCAATCAGGGATTAATTGGCTCTACCTTTCCTCAATTCATTCTGAGAGTTAAATGCAAAAGGGGTGCGGTAATTTCTTTTTGCTGTATGCTGACACAATCTGGTGAATGTATTACAACAGTAACCACAAAGAAAACATAAAAAACCGCAGAAGAAAGGAAAGATGGCCAAACATAAAAGCTTTCCATGTACAGGAAACCACAAAGGAGTGCCTGATGCTTGCCAGAGATTAATAGGATTCAGTGGCTTAGCTTTACAAGGCTTTAATGCACTGCTAAAAGAGCAAGGCTTCAATAGCTGGCTCACAGACCGTAACAAAATTAAAAGTTATCTTTAATAAATGTATTCCATGGATACTTTAAAGCGGCAGTTGCTTCCTGCTCCTTCTCAGAAACACAAACACAAATCCTTTTGGCAACCCCTATCACGATCTGCAAAGACTCCCACGTATTCACAACATATGTTCAACATACAGGCATTGCGAAATCTGCTGATGGCAGAAAACTTTGTGAGATTGGGAAGAATTAAAACCCAAACAAGCACATACGTGTTTGTGGAGTGGAAAAAATGAGCTACAAATTCTATTTCCCCACAAACAAAATGAGTCACCAATACAATACAGCTGATCTAATCCTATTTTAGATTGCCATTGCCAAAGTACCATATCCAGAATTTGGGTGGGCGACTTGTCTTCTCCAGCATGTCACACTGTTTGAAAGGGAACCCAAAAAGTTTAAAAGGGAACCCAAAGCAAGAACAACCATAGCTATGGGACAACTTGCATATTTAAACCATTTGATTCAAAAGATTCCACAACAGTAAGAATAAACAAAACAAAACAAACAAACAAATAAAACAGGTTTAGCCTGTGGATGTTCAGCCTATGGACCAGAGATGGGCAAAGATGACTGGCAAATCTTCTTTCAAACCTTGGTGGTAGAGCAGAGGTCTGTCATCACACCAAAGGCAACAGGTAATTTTAGAGGAGTCGTCATCTGGTTAGTGACAATGGTAGTTATAGTCCCAATAGATCCAGAGGGCATCAAGCTGGGGAAAGCTGATCTTAGTCTTTTTTGGCTGTTCTCAGCGATATATAAGATATGTTACACTGCCTATACTGCTTACACCTATCTTTAACAGAAACAGGGTCCAAAATTCCAAACAGTATCTTTTTATTTGAGGACCTGAAACTGCTGTTATCTGCTGCATCTATCAATTATAAATGACACAGTGCACTTAACTACAGCTTTAACTTCATTATGCAGATTGTATATATCTGCAAACCAGATTTAGGCTTCGTGCAAAACACAAAGAATCCAAAATTGGAACACCAGAACTTACTGGGCTTACCATTATTCAGTTTGTATTTGTCACTCAGCAGGTTGGGATGGCAGGACACTGATATAGAACATTTTATTCTAATGGACATATAGGCCAAAGTCCATTTTCCCAATAAGAAAAACAGTCTTGGCTTGGCTTCGCCCATTTCTGCCTCTTACTGAGAGGTTTTTCCATTTCCAAACAAAAGGCCTGTCCAATAAATGAGATAATCTTGACCTACTTTCATACTGAACAGCAAAACCAGCTAAGGCAGAAAACTTATAACTCAGTGCAATTCTCTTGCAATTTAATGGGACATAAATCCAATTAGAGAATCTGAGCACATATGGATCATTGCCAGAAGTTCATTCTGTGGAATCTACAAGGGCAACTGCATATGTAACCATTGTGTAATTGTTCAGGGATATTTCAGGAAGGTGAGACTTCCTGGCTGACCTCTCAACCGGGAAAGCAGCTTAGGAAAAGGCAAATATTTTGTTCTCCATGGCCGGACAATCCATTCCACCTTACCATCAGTCATGGATTATAGTTCAATATCATGTCCTGCTCTTCTGCTTTTTATATACTCCTCCCTATAACACTTTGCTTGATGTACTAACCCCAAAACTCCAATTTTGAAAATTACATAGAAAAATATGCAGGTGCACACTATGGCTTTGGAGCATCTGGAACATACAAAATATCTGTCCCTGAAATATGGGGATGCTTCAAAATAATTCTTCTATGGCAGTGTACCAATTGCTAGCTAGAATGGGAGACCAAGCTATCCAGAATTCACTACACATTAACAGGTTTGTTAGGCTAAGAGTTGCTAGTTGAGCTTGTCATCTGGCTAGCCATTGCATGAGTGTTAATGGAACACTCTTGTTCTGTTTCCCACCATCATGACAATGGATATAACTTGGGACAACAGTCCCACTCCCATCCTCTCCCAGAACTGAAGCTGATATGATGAAGACTTGTACTATGCACTGCCATGTATTATCTTCAGTAAGTAGGGTTTGGCACATGCTATGGTACTCCAAAAGTCTTCCATCTGGTGGCCTGCCAGAGGACAAGCCTCTTTTGTAGTCATCCTTCATTTGAAGCACTTTCCAGACCCGATTCTGATTTAAATATACAACCATACAGAGGGAAGGATTTTGACATTTTCTCATGACTGTGGACACTCAGTATAAACATTAGGGTCACCAGGTCATTGACTCGCTACTATAGTAAAGTGCACTGTAACTCTCTTTGAATTCGAAGAAACATTTCTAATTTTGAACATGTACCTATAAAATAACAATTATTTTGCAAATCTGTTTCCTCCATTGTCCTCCTTTTTGGTGATGTGTCAGTGGCCACCATACTCAGAAGGCATCAATCAGAACAAGGAGAACTTGAGAGAGGAAACAAAGGGAATGTTTTCCGTTTGGGAACAGGAAGTGAGAAAAGAGGCCAGGACCTGCATCACTCTCTGGAAGCAGACTGCTGTTTTCCCTGTTGATTTCCAAGCAAGGTTCCCTCTAAGCTGGGTGTGTGCACACACCTCTGTCTCCCTGCGCACAGCTGTCTTCCTCCTCTGTGCAGTGATTACGTTCGGTTCTGGTTGCAATGGAACCCTGCATGCAGGGGGTCAGAGTTGCGAGCGCAGGGGAAAAGTCACATGCGAGAGAAGTGAAGCCCTGTCCAGCAGAGGCTTAGAGGGTGTTTTGTTTCCAAGTAAAATTTATTGTAACTCCCACCATTTTTGGACTTCCCCGGCTCACAAACACTCCTGTGCAAGAGATAGATGAAAACATTACAACAAATATCTCAATTTGGTTTTAATGAGTTGTATGCTTACCTTGAAAGCCAAGGTGATACTTATAAAAAGAAGAATAATCACAACTAGGCAGGTGGAATTCACAGACATAATCTCTTCTTTGTAGGGGAAGTTAGCCGGCTGCAATAAGACAAAATATCCATTGTTAATTATCATCAAAGGTCTTCTCCCACCTAATTGTTAACACAGTACAGGCAGAAAACAAAAGCTGGAGTCCTGTTAGCTACACTTGATGCCGTAACTTTGTCAGCTTCAGCAGCAAATTAAATGTAGGTGGAGAAGCCTGTATAGTCATTTGATCTTGCACAACAGTTGTGCAATTCAGTGTGCAATACCAAATAGTGAATGCTCAACTTACAGATAAAATTTATGTTGATTAAGTTACAGTGACATCAATAAGTACAGTAATATTATTTGGCCCAAAGTTTATTTGTAGCAATCATACTACAGAGCTATCAAGGTATTACGTGTAGGTGGAGAAGCCTGTATAGTCATTTGATCTTGCACAACAGTTGTGCAATTCAGTGTGCAATACCAAATAGTGAATGCTCAACTTACAGATAAAATTTATGTTGATTAAGTTACAGTGACATCAATAAGTACAGTAATATTATTTGGCCCAAAGTTTATTTGTAGCAATCATACTACAGAGCTCTCAAGGTATTAGTTTTAAATCTCCCACCAATCTTGTGAGCCACATAACATTGTTTGATGCCATCCACGAACTTCATTGCTTACACCAAATTTCTACAAAGCAAGATGCTCCTTACTGGGGAAACCAAACTTCACTCTCTAGTATACAGATCTGGTTAGGCAAAAGGTAGGTAAGGGACAGGGAACATTGCTTACACCAAATTTCTACAAAGCAAAATGCTCCTTACTAGGGAAACCAAACTTCACTCTCTATTATACAGATCTGGTTAGGCAAGAGGTAGGTAAGGGACAGGGAAGTGGTGGCGCTGCAGGTTAAACCACAGAAGCCTTTGTGCTGCAAGGTCAGAAGACCAGCTGTTGTAAGATCAAATCCACCCAACGCAGTTCGAAAGTATGCAAATGTGAGAAGATAAATAGGTACCAACACGGTGGGAAGGTAACAGCATTCTGTGTCTAGTCACGCTGGCCACGTGACCACGGAAACCGTCTTTGGACAAACACTGGCTCTACGGCTTGGAAACGGGGATGAGCACCACCCCATAGGGTCGGACATGACTGGACTAAATGTCAAAGGGAACCTTTACCTTTTACGTAGGTAAGGGACACAACCTATGACAATCCAGATGTTTTAGAATGCAACTCCCAGAAGGCCTGCCTAGCATGAGATTCCAGGAGCTGGAAATCCAAGATACCTGGAAGGTCAAAGACTGAGAACTGAACTAGGGAAGCAGAGATACTGGACATAAAATTGTTGGGGGAAGAGAAATCATCACAGCCAATCAACATTTACGAAGTTCATAGAAAGATTTTGGCGTAAATCAGTGATAGTCCATCACACCGTCCTCAAAGGTATATGCATGACCAGCTTAGGTACATGAGGTCAGATGTAGAGCATGGAAAAATAATGTCTTTGAGTTATAACACACCACATTGGCAACAAGCATCATGACCTCTAGTGATTCTTCTACTCTGTGGAAATATCTGTGCATGCAACAGTAATCATGCAAACAATATGCAGCATTTCACAGGATGTCCAATACACAACCAGTGGCTGAATACTGCTTGCGTGATTATTGTTGTGTACCCAAATGTTTTTAAAAAGCAACTTTTGATGTGAGGGCCATATGGAATGAGAAGATAATCATGTATTCCATCCCAAATTGCTTCAAAAGAAGACTTGATACATTTCTTACATATGTCAGAAATAGGAAACATTACCTATTTGAAGGACAGGTCCCATAATTACCCATTCCAATAGGGATATCAATTACTGGGAGCTGTAGTCCAAAAAAAATTAAATTTTTCATCTCTGATATTTTATTTATTTATAGGAAGCCCGCTACTCTTCCAAAGTACATTTTCCCATTGCATTTTAAATTATTGAAGTCAGAGAGAGGAAGAACGGCTTTTCCCTATCATATATTCTGAAATCACTATTTTTTGTCAATGTTATCTGATTCACAAATAAAGAGAAATTAGTCTTAAGTCCTTCTCTTCATCTGGAATTTCACTGCTGCCGTGTTCTGATTATTTAATCCTGCCAGATGGTGTGTAACAGATTGGAGATAAATGTTACGCAACTATGTTTTCTCCTTTATTTAAACAAAATGCAGTTTTCACACAGAGTTGTTATTTTCATTGGTCCTCATGTTGTTTTAAATACATACTGTCACTGAAAGGCATTTTTTCCCTCTTTCTTTAAATGCACCTAGCACTGAAACAGAAGGATAATGTCACACCCTCTCCTCTGCCTTGGCAACCTCTTCACCTGTGAATTAATACACTTCACTAATTAGTTAACACATTGGATGTGATGACACCAGGATGGACTAAGTTATAGCTGTGTGGATTTGAAATCCAAGCTGTCGCTCCACTCCACAAACTGAATGCAGTAAGTTGAATGGCACGCTTAATACTACCTCCCCACTCTACAGTTGAAAGGAAAAGAGGACTTCGTAAAACTTGGTAAGCTGATGCCTAGTCCAGGGCACGCATGTTCTTGAGGACTTCGTAAAACTTGGTAAGCTGATGATGCCTAGTCCAGGGCACGCATGTTCTGAAGGTGCAGGACACAGCCACGTCACCCGAGCTAAATTGGACCAAATCCTATTTGTGCCTGAAAACAACACACACACATATCATCTTTAAAGGGGCAAGGTAGAACTCTCCCTTCTCTATTCATTTTTAACATGATTAAAATATGACTGTAGCATTCAAAGAATAGAATAGGGAGTGGTGGTAGGACAAGGGTGGATTCACTGCAAAAGCAGGCTCTCAAATGTGTGCATTGTTTAAGACTACAAACTGCCATTAATTCAGGAACACCGCATGGCATCCTACTAGTTAGGTGGTACTCAGTCAGTTAACTACCATCTCCTTGACACTACTGTCACCACTTCTCACCTCTGTTTAGATGATTTCAGACAAGGAATTGCTGGTAAAGGGAGCTGTGGAGGCTGGTTGTGTCAGGACAGCACAGACAGTTTCCATGACTGATATACACAATGCCTCCAGCCAATGTTCCCTCTGTCTTGCCATGCGTGTACACAGGTGTGGGTGGGGCTTCATTCAAAACGGGAAATAAACAAACTGTTTGCCAGCTGCCATGCACAAACCTGATGGAGCTCTGGGTGAGTGCGCAAGTGTGCAGCTTAGAAGAAACACTGCATCCAGTTGAGGACGGACTCTACTTCCTAGGCAAACCATTTGGGCCTGGATGGTGATCTGAAGAGTTTTGCCAGAGGCTTGCTTGCTGTTGCATTTCCAGCAGTAGGAGAGTAATTGGAGCCCCCATCACATCCCGAACAGCTACTCCAGTTACACGCATCTTCTATGCTAACATGCTTCTCTCTCTCCAGATGACAATTTTTAAGAAAAACAATTGCAATCTTATGACCGATAACTTGAGGTGGAAGTCACTTTTCTAGCCAGAAGATCAACACATTTCAAATCTGGTTTCCATAACACACAATTCATGGGCCAATTACTGCTAAAAGCGTGCCACTTATATACTGCCTCATAGTGCTTAATATACTGCCTCACATTTCAAATCTGGTTTCCATAACACACAGTTCATGGGCCAATTCTGCTAAAAGCGTGCCGCTTATATAGTGCTTAATACTGCACATATACTGCTCCCATACTATATATATTGTTCTTTTATAAAAATAAATGTAAATAAAAGTGACACGAGAAAGTGAATTATGGCACTACAATTAATTACTGAACAGGATGGTCTACCTCTAATTATTCTGACCTTCTTATACAGCAAACACAGCATTTGGAAGTGGAAGTGATCTTTTAGTGAAATTATACATTTTTGGTATTCTACAACCCTGAGTGGTTTATTGAAAAATAGAAGCATGAACAAGAATTCAGTTCTGTCAAGAGTTCTGTTCTGGCGCATTCCCAGATACTGAATATGAGGGCTGTGGATGATGACAATTGTAGACCAATGCATCTTGAAAGCAGCCTGCTGGGAAACATCATCCTAGAGAGCATACTGGACACTCTTGTTCTTTGACTCAGGTAAGCACAGCTCTTGCAGAATATACAGTTCGTTTGTTGTTATTTTACAGGCATGTTAAAAGGTTGTATCCAAAAGGGCAAGTGGCGCATAATTTATCACAAATCCAGAAGATCAAATGGAGATCATTTGGAGGCAATCTTCATTTAT